ATGTGCAGGCTGGGCTAGGAGCCGCCGCCTCCTCCCCCGCCCAGCGATGTATTCAGCGCCCTCCGCCTGCTCTTGCCTGTAAGCACCCGCGTGCGGGGCTGCCCACTCTGCTGCCGTCTGTCCGTGTGCCTGTGGCTCTGCCTGCGCGCACCCGTCTGTTCTGACTTTCCGCCCGCGTGTCTGTCCGCGAGCCCTTCTCCCTCAAGTCCCACTGACGGCCTCTCCATCTCTCTCCTGCAGGTGTTTACACTTCCTGCTGCTCTGCTTCCAGGTACAGGTACGTGGGTTCCTGGCTCTGCGGCCCCCCAGCCTTGCGTTGCACGCAGACCCCCTCCCCCGGGCCGCACCCCTCGCTGCGCCCCACCCCTGCTGGGCTCAGAGCCCAGTGCACCTGTTCCCAGGGCGCGGAAGGGCGGCTTCGCGTGCGTCCCGAGCAGGCGGGGGACCGCCAAGGGCACCGGGCTCTGCTGAGGGGCTTCAGCGGGCGTGGGCTGCCGCGTTCTCTGACGGCCTGGTCTGGGAGGAGAGTCCCGCAGTGTGCAGGGCCTCAGAATCCTTCCCACTGCTGTCGAGGAGTTGGGACCTAGAGATTTGTCTGTCTGCAAACTGTCCCCTAACATCGCCACCCGCTCTTGCAAACAAAAAGGCTCCTTGCGGGAGTGGATTTCTAAGGAGAGAGCTTCAGTTGTAAATTAGTCTGTGGTTTCAAAGGCGAGAGAGAGAGAGAGAGAGAGAGAGAGAGAGAGCGAGAGCGCGAGAGAGCGTGCCCTAGGAGCAGTTGCCCCAGGCCGATACCGGAGCGGCTGTGCTTCGCACGCCCTCACCCAAGGTGGTGCAGCCCTGGGCTGGTTCCCCGCCTGCTCCTGTTCTCCGGTTCGCTCTTGCTCTCCGAGAATCAGAAGAGGGCTTGGCGCTCAGCCTGGAAAGCACTTGCTAAAATCTGATCTGTTACTTCAGCAGCTTTCAGACTCGGGAAGGTCTTGGCACGCAGTCATTTGGAACACTCTGGCTTCCAAAGCCGTGGAAATGAAGGGAAAGGGGAGGGGGGTGGAGAAGAGGGAAAGAGGGAGCCGACTTCAGCCCCGATTAGAACCAGACCAGAGCTGCCTCCTCGTGGTGGGGGAAGAGGGGGTGGGCAAAGGGAATAGGAAGCCCAGCTGCCCAGGCTCCCCACCCACCTAGTGCTGCAAGGGAGGGGACCTAGGAGGAGCTGGACTCAGGCCAAAAGGAGATTATCTGCCCCTTCCCCCTCTGTTAAAGGCAGGTGTCCTTACAGGGCTAGGTAAGATGCTTAGCCTTCGGGATTCTGGAGATGTCCAGAGAGAACCTTGTACATGGGAACATGGTGATTCCCCCAGTGTTCTGGTACAGAGATGTGTGTGTGTTATTGAGTGCTTGAGACTCAGAAGCCTCTTGCAGTGTATGCTGCTGGTGTCTCATCTCCTTTCCCTCTCCTGGGAGGGGATGTTACCATCCTGATAGGGGCCAGCCAGTTGGGGCTGGGGGCTGGGGGTGGAGGCTGGAAGGATGGATGGATGGACAGACTGATGAGTTCTTTCCTCCTGTTGGCTAGAGTGGGGTCCCCAGTGACTCCTTGAATCAATACAACTGGAGTCAGTAACTTAAGACTGGCTGTTCGCCAAAGCAGATGTGACTGTGTGTGGTGATGGGGGTGGGGGTCAGGGTGGGGAATGGCTGGTGTCAGAGAGAGAGGCCAGTACCAGGCATGGTCTGCCTGGTTTGCAGCTGAGTCCTCAAGCAGAGGGCATGCCCTGGGGTCACCCCAGGGAGTCTGCTTGTCTGGCTTGAGGAGAAGCTCTTTTCTGGAGTGTGGAGCTTAGGGGCAGGAGCTGATGACATGGGCATAGGGGGAGGCCTTTGAACCTTGCTGCCCAAGGCTCTGGATGCCTGCTGCTCTTGAATCTTGTTGAAGTGGGGCCCAGGAAGGCTGCTGGGTGGTCTTTGTGTTCTCTGAGGAGAATGTGAGGGAGGCAGTCTAGACTCTGCTGCTTCCCACTTCTACCTCCTGGCCAGGGCTGGAGCCAGCATTTTAGGGAAAAGCTGGGTGGTCAGCCAGGGTTAGGTCAAGAGGCAGCCTTCAGGTAGGTGAGAAGCCTCCATTCTTCTCTCCTTTCCCTTTGTCCTCTCTAGCCTTTTCCCATCTGAGCTACCACAGGTCTGAGGTTTTGAACTCCTGGGCCCTGCATCCCTGGAATACCTAGGAATGGGATGTGAGGGAGGGTGTTCCAGAAACACTGCCTAAAAAGCAGCATGCGATGCATCCTGGAGAGGGCTTTCAGCAATCGCTTGCGTTTTCAAAAGCACCCAGGACCACAGAGAGGTAAAGAAATGTTACTTTGGGGGTAGGGTTTCAAGCAAGGTTGGCATGCTTCTGTCCACATTTACACTTCGGGGACAAAGGTGGGATGGCCCTTAGAGGCAGGGTTGAAGAGTGCTGGTCTCCGGGAGTCTGGGGATGGGATCCCTGCAGAGGTGGTGTTGGTCTGATGTGAACACATTCTGGGCAGGGTGCTGGTGTGAACAGGAGCCAGGGAGGCCACACTGTGCTGAGGGGAGGGCTGGGGCAGGGAGGACCTGGATGTCTGCTCCATCCTGGCTGTGTCACCCTGAGAGTCTTAATTTCCTTACTGGCAAAGGTGGTGGCCCGAGGGTTGAAGAGCTATATGATAGAGGCAGAAGAAGTTTTATGAGTTCTCATCTACCTAGGAAGGTGTGTTGCTCACCTGGGAAATGGGTATACCTATGCTCTTCCCTCCTCCACATCACAGTTTTGGGGGCCAGTCCAGTCTTAGCACAGGAGTTGCTGGGTTCTTCTCCTCCTATCTGTCCCTCAGCTACCACGCTCAGAATGGGCCCCTGCCCCCAAGCCACGTTTCCATGAGCACATTCAAGGCCAGACACTGTCCTCCGCCCACCCCTAGTGTGGAGAGCCCTCCCTCAGCCCTGGCCACCCTGGGAAGCGGGAAGCTGGGAATTTAATAAAATCCCTTCATCCCTTCTCCGCAAGACTCGGGACACCGCAGATAGCTCAAATCGGAAGAATTTTAAAAATTTCTGTGGGAGCAGGCGGCGTGACCAGTAAATTGCTTTTCTGCACTTGGCTGAGCTCTGACAATGACACCGGGCTGGGCCTTTCACACTGCTCCGCTGGCACCTGCCTGACATTGTTCGTGCCGCCAGGCTCGGCTAGGTCCTAGCCTTCCCCAGACAGGCCATCCTGGGGAGGGCAAGAGCAGGGGGGACTTCCTCCAGCCTCTTGTCCCTTCTGCCAGCCCCTCGTCTCTCCCATGGTGCCACTTCCTCTTGGTGTGAGAGGTGTTCAGGTTGGGAAGTTTCTTTCCATGCTCCCCTCGGCCTCACCACCCCCACTTCCAGCCTCTTCAGGGAGGTTTAGTAGCTTTCTTCAAACTGCCTGAGAAGGGGAGGCTAGGGGCAGTGTCCTTTAAGGCAAGACGAAGGTGGAAAGCTGTCCTACTGGGTGGCATTTCTAATTTTTTAAAGCAACACCACCAATCTGTCCATTCAGGGGGTTTCCCCTCAGTACTTGTTTTCCAGAATCCTGCTTTATAGCCTGGGAATAGACCCCGTCTTGGCCTCTCCTTGTCCCCAAGGAGCTCTAGGTCTGGAGGAGACGCTGCCAGGTACATAGGCATTTGTTTACTCTGCCTTTTCCCAGTGCTTCTAAGTGTAGTGAGGCAGGGTACATCTTCCTGTTTAACAGAGGAGGAAACCAAGGCTGAGGAGAAATGACTCACGTAAGGGAAAAGGGAGCTGCTTGTAAGATTTATGAAGCTTCTTTTATGTTAGGAAGCTGTTTGCATCTCTCCGCCCGTTCTACAAGGAGATGAAGTAGGAGAGGTACATTGGAGGTGGAGAGTAGGGAAGGGATTTGTTCGAGGCAGTGGTTAAGAAGCAAGACTCTGGACTCAAGCATTTCATTCCACCACATCCAGCTGACTGTTTCAGAAAGAATCATGAAGTTACTTGGAATACTGGTGGGGAAACAGAGCCCTGGCAGGCGTGGTGGAGTCCTTAGCGACACCCTGTTTGGACTCTGGGATCGGGGGTGATCAGAACCCAGGGGGGCATCTCTGGGGTTGAGGGCATCTGCCACAGTGTCTGCAGGCTGTGTCCTGGAGTGCGGTGTGCTGACCTGAAAAGGCTGCTGGAGAGAAGTGCGTGGTGAGTTTTCTTTTTCTTTTTGGAGGGGCGGCATCTCCTTCCCAGCCTTTTCCCAGTGTGGAGGGGAAGGAGCAGGGGCACTGTGCCAGCACTCTTACGGACCCTGTGTCACCTGCTCACTTGGAGATAAAGAGAAAATGTCTCGTGACTGGCTCAACCTCAGGAGCAGGTTCGGTGTAGATCATCCAGGTTACCACGGCAGCTTCCACCCTGCCCTGGGCAGCTCCAGAGGCTAGAGGGTTCCGTGAGGAGAGGTCCATCCTCTGCAGGACTGTGGAGGTCTGTCTGCATCCTCTGGCAGGAAAGTTGTGGGTGTGGGAAGTTGGGGTGCAGGCCCCTCAGGCCAAGAACAACAGTATCAGCAACAGTACTTGTCATGTCCCCGGCGTGTCAGGCTCCCTGTGTGCTGGGTGAGTCTTGTACGCGTGCACATGAGGCTTCCCAACCAGCTTGGCTTTAGAGAGTTCTACAGATGAAGCCAGGGGGCTTGAGGACTTTGGTCACAGCAAAGCTCCAGGACCCAGGAGTGCCTTGGAGTCGGCCAGCCTGGTTCAGACTGTGACTTTTCCTTCTCTTTGCTCTGTGGACTTGGGCAAGTCACTTTACCTCCCTGGGTCTCAGCCTCCGCATTTGTAAAATGAGGCAAACAGAAATGACCAACAAAATAGCTCCAATTCCTCAGGGGACTGCATGGCCGTGAATGCTAGTGTGCAGTTCCAGATTTATCTCCTGTGCTCTGGCCCTAGGAGGGGGCCTCTGTCCTGTTCCCACTCAGGTATAGTAAGTGCTCCTTTTCTGGGGCTGTGCCACCTTCTGGTCACTGGGCAGTGGTGGGTGGGTTGGTGTTGACCCTTCCCATGGGTTGCTCTGTGAGCCTCTGAGTGCTCAGTCATGTTTTCCGGACCGCTCTGCCCTCATTCCCAAGGCAGACCATTGGGGGAAAGGGCATGCTGAGGGCCTGCCATGTGGCAAGGGCTGGGCGCCAGCCATCTGGCCTTAGTACAGGTTCAGGCCTGCTGTCAGTGCTTTGGCCTGAGGGTGGGAATTTGTTCTGGACATCAGCAGGTAAGTGGG